CCGCGGCGATTACCTTGAATGGCAACGCTCCTCCGCGATCTGTGTTGTCCCCGCGCCCCGCGTGGGTCGGGATGGAGAAAGCGACGAGCCCGGGGTTGCGGGGAGCAACTCCAAAAGCAGAAGAGGGATCCCCGGGTCTTCGCCCGCGCCAAGGCTCCCGGACTTCACGCGCACCACAGGCTGCGGAGGAGCGCGGGCATGACGCTTGCGGGCTGCCCTCGGATTTGGGGAGCCACAGGAAGAAAGGACTCAGGCTTGGCGTTGCCTCCACCAAACTTTGCTCGCGAGTTGCGAAGGCTCAGAGCGCGCAGGCAAGCTGCGGCCTCTGGGCCCCCGGGGCGCGCGGCCGGCCCCCGCCAGCCCGGAGAGCAGTCCCCGCGCCTGGCCAGGTACGCCGCATGCAGCCCCGCGGCGCCCGAGCTTTGTGGCTGCCGCGCGCGCTCGCTCGTCCGCTCCGCACCCACCGCCCGCCCGCTCGGCTCTCCACCGCGCTCTCCTGCGGCCGCCGCCCGCGCCGCCGCCGCCGCCGCCGCCGCCTCCTCCCGGCGGGTCACGCCCCCGCTGAAACCCGAGCCGTTTCCTGGACGGCGGCGCCCGCTCTGCCAATCAGCGCCGCGCACCCGGGCCGCCCCGAGCCCCGCGCGGCTCACGACGCCTCCGAGCCCTCGCCCGAGACACGGGCCGGGGAGACGAGGGCCCAGCCGCGATCCGGCCGTGGGGATGCAGCGACAGCCTCCGAATAAGGCCTGGTCCCGCGCCCCGCGCGACCTCCTCCCTCTTCCTCGGGCGAGCGCGGCTGGCCAGCGGCTCCCGGAGCGGCCGCGTTAAGTACAAGTGACCGAAGGCTCTAACCCTGCCCACCCCCTAAAGAGACTTTAAAATGGGTCTGCTTTTGGTACTGCGGGGAGGGTTGTCAGGCAACTGAAGCTTTCGGAGGAGAGGAAGCAGCCTGGAAATGTTCGCAGGACATTGCATTTTTCTGTCTTTCTAAACAATAGAAATGAGAGGAAAAAACTGAATATTAATGGGGGCCCTACTATGGGCGGGTCACACTACATAGGTGATTCTATTTCGCCTGCCCAACCACCCTGCAGAGTAATATTCCCAGTTTCTGATAAGGAAACTGAAGATCAGAGATGTTCAGTAATTTGCCTAGGATCACACAGCTGGCTATTGAGAGAGCCTGACTTTGAATGTGGCTCTCTCAGAAAAAGCCAAAAATTGCATTCAAAAAAATAAGTGTTTAGTAGTATATGTTTGGATTAATTAAAAGAAATTCAAAGAAGTCTAAAGATTCAACTCTGCCATAAGTAGCTGATCTTGAGCAAGCTAATTCCTCCCTCTGAATCCTAGATTCAAAATCATAAATGCAAAATCTGATTCTTCAAGTCCACACCAAGCTGTAACTGGCTAAAGTTCCTATTTCCATTTACCCTTTTCCCTAAGCCGTGTCTTCGGATTCATTCATTTTAAATATGCTTTTTCTTCCTCCTTATTCATCCAGCTCCAGAGCAGCCGTGCTCGGTTCAAGACGGTATAGATTAAAACCTTAATTATTTTTCTTTAGAAAAGGTCACTAAACCCAGAAATGCTTTAGAATCCTTTTGAGGCCTGAAGATAGATGAAGCATTGAGAACAAACCTGACTTGGAAAACAGACTTTTCCTGCCCTTAGAAACATATTTGCACCTGCGTCACTAGCATTGCACACTTCCTAACATTTACAAAAATTTTTTTTCAAGGTGCCACATGATTAGAAAATCATTTTTATTCACAGTATAGCACAGAAAACATTGATGCGAGTTACTTAAAAGCCACACGACAAATCAATCCTTTTAACTGCCTCACGCAAAAGGCTGTAATATTGGATTTTGGGAGTTTGATGGCAACAAAATAAAAACTGGCTCTTAAACAAAATGATGCCTCCATATGCTTGGTGGGAGGGTGTTTTTGGTTGGGGCCTCTAACCTGAATCAGTCCCAGAGCCTATATTAACAGACACCTCAGGACAGGTGACACTTAGCCATTCACTGCCACCTGGGTTGTTCTGAGCCTAGCAGTATGTTTTCAAGTTCTCAGAAAAGGGATGCAGCTGAATGTGTCTGCCTGCTTTCAGGCTGCCTCTTACATCTTTACATTCCCCTCCAATGGGAAACTCAAAATATCTCAGGACAGATTCCTTTCCCATCCTGCACCGTATCCATCAGCCATTGAAAATGCTGTTAACACATTCTCACATAAATTAATGGTGCAGGAAGCCGCTGTCCCTATCCCCATTCATCAATAGCTTTATGCACACTGAATGGAAGGAAGCCTTCCACTGAAAATGACAAATAAGAACACCTACTCTAATGTCCAGGCACAGTTTGCAGAATGTATTTTTTATGGAGATGAAAAGACACCCATCTATCAAAAGCTCCTTATTCCCTAAAGAGTGCTAATTTCTAAGGGAGTGAAACCCACAAGCCCACAACAGCAAACTCTTCAGTTTTGAAAAAAAAACAACAACAACACACAAAAGCATGTTTAGGATTATTTTTTAAAAATCAATTCTGTCCTCATATGTAGTCTTGAAGTGACCTCCAACAGTCCAGGAAAACCTTCACACCAGCGAGACTTCTGAATGAGAAAATAATCTCTTTACAGTTTTTTTTTTTTTCCCTTTTTCTCTTCCCTCTTCAAGTGGCTGGAACCCCTTTCGTCAATGGCCTCCCATGAATGGTGTTGCTAATAAAGCCTATTAATGAGCTTCCACCGCGGAGTGTGAATAGGTAAATAAGCCCCAATCTGCTGAGGTTCTGGGGCAAGGGCAGAAAAGCCAGTCAGAACTAAAGGTGACAGTTTGAACTGAACTGCGAACGCCAGCACCAGGTTTCAGCTGAAAGAACCGCCAGACAAGGACACATTCACAGTCCCTCCACCCCCTACCGAGGCCTCTTTTCTTCACAGTTTTCCCCCCTTTACAAAATGTCTTGAGTAGTCACCCTTTTTTTTTTCTCAAAAGCCCTCGAGACGCCCTTCTTTTTTCACTCTAGTAATGATACATCAATGGGAAGGAAGAAAAATGAGGACACCAGAACTCCGATGCCCCCAAAAGTTTCAAGAAACAAATTATGCTGCTGGCCCATTGGTGATGGGAAGAGAAAAAGGAATGCTTGCTGCCACGGGCCTCTCTCCCTTGAAGATTTGGGATTTTTCTTTTAATAATTTGTTTTGTGATGGGTGGCTGTTCCTTCACTCTATGGAAACGATAGATGAATAACGGCTCTGACGTGAAGTGCTCATGAACCTTCCCGGGTGGATCTGAGCTCCCTGCAGCACTAGGAATTTCATTCTCTGAGCTACGTCTCAATAACGTCCACAGCATAAAAGAAGCACTCTAATAGAAGGACATAGCATAGTCCAAGGACTATGATAAGAGTATTTACTTCTGGGGAAGGGGAGGGGCTGGATCCCCTGACAGCTCCAGCCCATCTTCAGGGAGCTTGTGGCATTTAAGTGAAGCAAAACCATTGATCCCACTACTGAATAGCATCAATGCTTCTAAACTTAGAACTGGGTCTGAATTCCAAAGCCAAGGCTTCTCCGGAGACAGAGTCCTTCTGGAAGTATCGCCTCACTTCCAGGCAAAGGGGGAATAGCTTTCTTAAGGTGAAAGGCTGAAGTAAGAGAGCTCTCCTCACTCAATAGCTGTGTGACCTGTGGCCGGGCACGGTGGCTCACACCTGTAATCCCAGCACTTTGGGAGGCCAAAGCAGGCGGATCACTTGAGGCCAAGAGTTCCAGACCAGCCTGAAAAAACATGGCGAAACGTCATCTTTACTAAAAACAGGTGTGGTAGCTCACGCATGTAATCCCACCTACTTGGGAAGCTGACGCACAAGAATCACTTGAACCCAGAGGCAGAGGTTGCAGTGAGCTGAGATCGCCTCGCTGTACTCCAGCCTGGATGACAGAGCAAGACTCAGTCTCAAAAAAAAAAAAAAAAAGCTGTGTGACCTCAGGCCAGTTGCTTGAATTCTCTGAGTTTTCCATTTTCTCGGCTGTAAAATGAGGAAAATACGGGTTCTTATCGCCTAGCTCTTCAATGGGGTCACTAAAGGATTAACTGAGTTAGGTTGTGACAAGCAATTTGTTTTTTTGTTTTGTTTTGTTTGTTTATTGGTTGGTCTTTGGTTTTTTTGAGATGGAGTCTCTCTATGTCGCCCAGGCAAGAGTACAGTGGCGGGATCTTAGCTCACTGCCATCTCTGCCTCTTGGGTTCAAGTGATTCTCCTTCCTCAGCCTCCCAAGTAGCCAGGACTACATGCACCCACCACCACATCTGGCTAATTTTTTATATTTTTATTAGAGATGGGGTTTCACCATGTCGGCCAGGCTGCTCTTGAACTCCTGACCTCAAGTGATCCACCCGCCTCGGCCTCCCAAAATGCTGGGATTGCCAGTGTTAGCCACTGCACCCAGCCTGCCCTTAGTTGTTTTGTGTTTTGGTTTGGTTTGATTTTTCGAGACACGATCTCTCTGACCCCCAGGCTGGAGGGCAGTGGCACAATCACAGCTCACTGTAGCCTCAACCTCCTGGGCCTATGCAATCCTCCCACCTCAGCCTCCTGAGTAGCTGGGACTACAGGCCTACACCACCATGCCCAGCTGATTTTTGTATTGTTTTGTAGAGACAAGGGCCTCACTATGTGGCTCAGGCTGGTCTCAAACTCCTGGCCTTAAGCCATCCTGCCTCCTTGGCCTCTTAAACCACTAAGATTACAGGCATGAGCCACCATGCCCGGCTTCACTTACAGGTTTTTATTCAGATGGTCCTCATTGTTCTGAGAAACTTTGGCGCATGAGCAAGGCTGTGTGTTTTCTATGACGATTACTAGCCATACACAGGTAGTCCACCCTGATATGCGGTTTCCCTTGCCACGCTTTCAGTTACCTGAGGTCAGCCACAGTTTGAGAATAGGTAAGATATTTTGGGCTCACGCTTATAATCCCAGCACTTTAGGAGGCTAAGGCAGGTAGATCACCTGAGGTCAGGAGCTTGAGACCAGCTTGGCCAACGTGGCGAAACCCCGTCTCTACTAAAAATACAAAAAAATTAGCTAGGCATGGTGGCATTTGCCTATAGTCCCAGCTACTTGGGAGGCTGAGGCATGAAAATCTTAACTTAAACCCCGGTGGTGGAGATTTCGGTGAGCCAAAATCGGGCCACTGCACTCCAGCCTGGGTGACAGAGTGAGACTATGTCTCAATAAAAATAAAAAAAGAGACATTTTAATTAAGAGACCACATTCATGTAACTTTTATTAGAGTATATTATTATAATTGTGCTATTTTGTTATTAGCTATTATTGTTCATACTTTTTTCCCCCACTCTGTCGCCCAGGCTGGAGTGTAGTGGTGCCATCTTGGCTCACTGCAACCTCCACCTCGTGGGTTTGAGCTATTCTCCTGCCTCAGCCTCCAAAGTACCTGGGACTATAGGCACCCGACACCACACCCAGCTAATTTTGGTATTTTTAGTAGAGACGGGGTTTTGCCACGTTGGCCAGGCTGGTCTTGAACTCCAGGCCTCAAATGATCCACCTATAGTTTCATCTGATGAATTTGCATAGTCTTCACAATAGGGGACGAATACAGGAGCAATCTGTGGTTCACAGAATGATTACTGTCAGTAACAAATGGAAGTGTAAAATTTATAAGAATTACCAAGACTTTCATTTGAGAAATTAAGACTTAAAATTCTGCCACACATTTGCTATTTACAAATGGGTAAGGCCGGGCGCGGTGGCTCACGCCTGTAATCCCAGCACTTTGGGAGGCCAAGGTGGGCGGATCACAAGGTCAGGGGTGAGACCAGCCTGACCAAAATGGTGAAACTCCCCATCTCTACTAAAAATACCAAAATTAGTTGTGCATGGTGGCGTGCACCTGTAATCCCAGCTATTCAGGAGGCTGAAGCAGGAGAATTCCTTGAATCCAAAAGACGGAGGTTGCAGTGAGCAGAGATTGCGCCATTGCACTCCAGCCTGGGTGACGGAGCAAGATTCCGCTTCCCCCTCCAAAAAACAACAACAAAAAAGAAGGAAAAAAAACAAAAATAAACAAACACTGGGTGCAGTGGCTCACGCCTACAATCCCAGCACTTTGGGAGGCCAAGGCAGGCAGATCAGGACACCAGGAGATCCTGACCATTCTGGCCAACATGGTGAAACCCACTCTCTACTAAAATACAAAAAGTTAGCCAAGTGAGGTGGCATGCGCCTATAATCCCAGCTACTCCGGAGGCTGAGGCAGAGGAATCACTTGAACCCGGGAAGTAGAGGTTGCAGTGAGCTGAGACCTCGCCACTGCACTCCAGCCTGGCGACAGAGCAAGATTCCATCTCAAAAATAAAAAAAACCAGATAATTGGGTTTGTTGTTCAAAATGCAACTGAGGGCAATTTGGGAACCTTGAATACGTTCTGTGTTTTTAAAAAAAAAAATTAAATAAAAGAGCAAAATCACTATAAAAGATAGGGAGGGAGGATAATTGGGAAAAGTTTAATATGGTCCAGATAGGGGATCATATTACTATTAGATACTGAATATTAGAGATTGTTGTTCAATCACGTAGATCAGATTATGACAACTTGATTTTGTAGGAAATTTTCTGTATTATTATGAGATCCATGCCAAAGTTTAAAGTTGAAATGTCTTGATGTTTACAACTGACTTTCAAGTAGCACAGGAAAAGAGAAAGAGCACAAACATCACAGATAAAGCAGATATGCAAAATGTTAACTCTTGACACTCTAAGTTGACAGCATCCATTGCTTATTGCACTATTCACCCAACTTAATGAATGTTTAAACAATTTCACAGTTAAAACCTGGGGGACTCCAGTGGAGGCCATTATGGACTCTGGCCCCAGCACTGCCCCTTGTGCCATCACTGTGGCCACAAGCACACCCCTACCTTTGGCTCCTGCCAATCTGAACCTATGAAGGAAAACGGATAGGTCAATTAACTGGTTGGCCAAATTAGCTGCATGTAACATGACAGTGGCCAAGATCTCAAGGTATTTTTGACAAGTAATGTGGTACAGGTAGAAACAGCACCGAGGCAGGGTCCCCAAGACCTGGGTTTTCATCCCAACGTTGTCAAGGGCTAACCATGAAAGTCTAGGAAGGCTGCTGAACAAGCCCCATCCCACCCTGACCCTTGGCTTCACCTTCTTTTGCATAATTGAGGTGTCCCCCTCAATCTTAACAATAAATGTGTCTGATTTCTGGCCTATCTCTGAACATCCCTGCCTCCAGCTGGAGACCCACAGGAGCTGAAAGCTTGGTGCCCACCCACCACCGAAGGTCGCCCTGGAGTTATAGGAAGGGACCATTCTCTTTAAAGTATTCTGAAACCCTAGCCTCGGAACCCTGCTGTTGACCTCTGTCTACTGGTAACGAGTGTCTACCGGAACAGTTCTCTAATCCCTAGCCCATTGCTGTTTAAGGGCAATTTATGGCATGTCATTTCTCGGCTGTAAGACTCCATGCCTCTCAACCACTCCGCCCTCCACACATCCACCACTTCCACCACAGCAAGGCTTCTGCAGCTAACCGGCAGAAACTATGCAAGCCGTTTTAGCCAGGGTGGGGTAAATGAAGATGAGATTAGCAATGATATCTCTTCTGCTCCCACCCTCCACCCATGCCCTCATCGCTGCCTGGAGCTGTGCTGTCCTATACCTTTAACTGTCAGCCAATGGGATTATTTAAAGTTAAATCAATTAAAATGAAAAAAGACTTCAACGTCAGCTCCTCAGTAGCACTAGCCACAATTCAAGTGCTCAACAGTCACATGGGGCCGGATCACTACATTGGACAGTGCAGGATTCTAGGACACCTTCACCATGGCAGACGCTGTATTGGGCTATGCTGGAGAATGCACCCTGCTTTCCACTTCCTCCTCCAGGAAGACCTCCTTAGTTAGAGGGGCCCTCAGGAACTGCTCCTGCCCTCCTTCTCCAGGTCCCCAGACTCACCATCCCTGGACTGCTCCCCAAGCTCTAAATGGGCATCTTGCCTTACCAGGGTGGAGGTAGGGACAAGAATTCTACTCCTTAGATGGAGAATGGTGCAGGAGATACAAAGGACAGGTCTTTGTTCTGCAAACACAATGCCTGCTGTTGACAATGAAAATGATTTTAGATGGGCGTGGTGGCTCACGCCTGTAATCCCAGCACTTTGGGAGGTCAAGGAGGTCGGATCACTTGAGGTCAGGAGTTGGAGACCAGCCTGGCCAACATGGTGAAACCCCACCTCTACTAAAAAATACAAAAATTAGCTGGGCATGATGGTGCATGCCTGTAATCCCAGCTACTCAGGAGGCTGAGGCAGGAGAATCACTTGAACCCAGACTCCGTCTCAAAAAAGGAAAAAAGAAAATGACTTTAGCCCACACCATCACCTTCTGACCGTGGGGCCCCCGGAAGCAGCCCCTGGTCTCTGTGGGAGTTTCTATGGGTCCTAAATTCCTCCCTTCCAGGATTCCCGCTCCCTCAAAGCCTCAGAAACTCAGCTGTGTGCTTTGAGCCTTAAGGCCAGAGCAGGGAAAGGCTTACTGAACCAAGACACCCAGGCCCATAAAGGCCAGCAGAAACGGAGTTTGAACAACAAACTTGGTGGAAAGGGGTTACCTGGAGACCACTAAATGATAACACCCACAAAGGCCCCGGGCTGCTTCTCCCATCTTGAGATTCCCAGGACCTGGCACTACCTGGCTAGTGGGAGCAGTTTATGGGGCTGTGTTTATACCTTACAGGCTCTTTAATAGATGCTTATTGATTGTTTATTGTTTATCCTCAGCCTCCTCCAGGATTTCCTAATTCAAGCATCTGCATAAGTACAAAGAGGCACATGTACACAGGAGTGTGGTCTCTCCAAAAGGTGGGAATAAAAGCCAGTTTAGGACAAGGCTGACTGAGTTGTGTGGGGAAGTTACCTTTCCCTGCAATCACCTATTTCCACAATGCAGTTCTTCCTCTTTTCTCTTGATTTCTGCCTTTGATTTGCTACACTGGTTCCCGAGTGTGTGTGTCTGCTATGTCCAAATGTGAAAAGAAGTTTACTTTCGCTGTACACAGTGGCTTACGCCTGTAATCCCAGCACTTTGGGAGGCTGAGGCTGGTGGATTACCTGAAGTCAGGAGTTCAAGACCAGCCTGGCCAACATGGTGAAACCCCCTTCTCTACTAAAGACACAAAAATTAGCCGGGCATGGTGGCGCGTGCCTGTAATCCCAGCTACTTGGGAGGCTGAGGCAGGAGAATTGCTCGAGCCCGGGAGTCGGAGGTTGCAGTGAGCCGAGATCGCACCACTGTACTCCAGCCTGGGTGGCAGAACCAGACTCTATCTCAAAAACAAAAACAAAAAAAGGAGTTCACTTTCATAAACCCAAAGGGAGAAAAATGATGCTGCCAGGATCCTGGTAAACTCAGGGAGGGAGAGGAGAGTACAGAGCCGCACACATCGTAAAACCACAAACCCAGTAACCTTTTTAGAGTCCCAGAGTTCTCGTATTTTGTCCCCAGGCTGGGGAGAAAGGCCATCAAGTGGGGACCGATTTCCTTAACAGATTTCTAAGAGCAGCGCTGAGAAAAAATTAACTCCTTCGCGGGTGGCGGATGCTGGCTTGGTGCGGGGGCGCGGCGCCCGGGAAGCAGGTGGCTCCAGGTAAGGGAGGCCGAGGTCCCGAGGCGCCCTTTGTTCTCTGGGCTCTGCACAGCGAGGCGCGCGGCGGGCGCCAGCGCCCCCGTGTGGCCGCCAGCACCGCGCGCGCAAACGGCGGGCGGCACCCGGGGCTTGGGTGGCGGGGCTGGCATCGAGGTAGGGGGCCGCCGTGCTGGGAAGACGGGCGTCCCGCCAGCCCCCGGCCATCCCTTAAGTCGTTCGGGCTGTGCAGGTGATGAGCGATCCAGGTCGAGGCAGATCTGCAGCAGGAGCCCAGATGCTGGCCCAAGCACAGCTGGACTAAATGTCCATTCCCCCGACGGCTGGGGCGCTGGACCTTGCAGGGACGTGGTGCTGCAGCGGCCTGCGCCTGGGCCTGGCAGTGGCTACCTCGGGCTGCTTCTCCATTCGCTGCTGGCTTTGCCCCCGGGAGGCGGCCCCACATTTCCAGCCTGTGGACCAACAAGGCGGAGAACCAGCTCTGCACCTTTGCCATGAAATCAGCTCCCACCTCCGACC